TCTAGTTGTTTGTAATCAATGCAACCAAAGGAGATGTGACCACACGTTAATTTGATATCCATAGAAATATTTCTAGCTTTAGCTCTCAAAATTTTGAAATTCTTGTATGATTTTGGCGAATTGAGAAAAAAATATCTCGAGTGAATCGTTAGGGAAAGGCTAAAGTTCTTTTTGTAGTATGATATACATCTCATTTCCTATATTTTAGAATGCGTTATGTTTGTGTTTTGAGTGTTTAACATGCTCTCATCGCATCTATAAATTTCCAGGCAATCTGTATCTATTGTGTCAATGTGGCCAACATGGTTACAATCTTCAATTGACAAGATATGTGCTAATTCGTGAGCTCAGCCACCAGGGATAGAGGTGGTTGAGTTTGTCTTAACGTCTTAAACAATTAAGTCAATAAATGTAATTGCGACAAGATTTTAACATAAGTTTAATAAGTTAGAGAAACTATTTTACCTAATGTGAAATTACAGTTTCTTTATAAGGGAAATAGCTAAATCACTCTCTCGAATGAGTAGCTATGTCGCACCCCTCTATGAGGAAGTTGAGTCCAGTGTCACATAGAGAGCTCGTGGTGCTACATGGCATTATCTAGAATGGGTAAACTATCACATTTCTTGAATTTTCTCATTTTCAAGGTGAAGGCACTTGTCCATAGCTTGACGCTCTTAATGCACATCTCTAAATTTCTCCACAAATATGCCCTATGCAAATGCACGACACGGTATCGTTAATGAATATCTCTTGGGCCATGTTGATTTGATCCAATCCCAGTAGTCGAAGTTTTATGTTGACGTGTTTATATATTTTGTTTAAGAGCAACGTCGAGTGTTTCATCATATTGTGTTATGTTAGAATTCTAACAAGAATTATGTATGTTCTGATATCACTTGTTAGAAATTAAGGACGACGAGATTATATAGCACGATATGAAATATCGATCACAACATAAGAAAAAAAGATAATTTGGCAGAGGAGTGGAGAATTTATTATAATATAGAGAAATAATACAAAGTATTGTGTTTCTAACTTCTGTAATATTCCAACTTGTAAAGAAGAGTCAATTATATATATGGAACATGTCAAAACCTTGATACAAGTCCTAAAGATGGAAAGAGTATAAAAAATCACGTGGAATAAAGAAAACAATCTTCCGTTGGACAAGCACGACACTCAAGCTACAGACTCGCGGAGTCGCGGTAAGTGAGCAACAGGTGCACCCTCGAGCGCCAAGTGAGTAGTAGGTGGACGACAGCTTTCTGCTCAAAATTTCATCCCTCCGCTCAAACAGTAAGCTAGAGACAATATGGGTTTTTTTTCATCCTTAGTCTATATTTTGATTTCTTCAAAACCCAATTCAACAAACCCACAAAAATTCAATGAAATTTGGGTCAAACTTTNATTGTCTTGGTTTTCACAAATAGCGTAACCGTTCAAGGCATCAGATCCTCTGGTTTGCTAGTAATTCCCGATAGGTTTCAAATTGGAAGGTTCAAAGCTAAATGCTACCTATCCTATGCAGGATTGATTCGCTATACTCTATATTTCTCTGGTTTTCAAAATTTTCATTCATGTGGGGGATTGTTGGAAAATAATTTCATATTGAATGAAATCAGTTTCGTTTGAATGAAAATCAACAGTTTAGCAATTCATTTCCTGCATTTCAGTTTCAGCTGTTTCAGCTGTTCCTCTTCATCTTCAATGTCAATTGCATTTATGGCCACCCCCTCATCTATGGGTATAAATAGAAGACTTCTTGGTAGAAGGAGTACAAGTGATTCAAACAACAAACACAACCAAAGGAAAAACAAAACTAAACAAGAGTTTCCTCCTTTTCATTTATCGACAGCCTGGTTTTATTTTCCTTTGCTTATTCCTTCGAGAGATAGACACAGCTAGTTCATAGGCGATTAACGTAATGCAGAGGAAACCGACGACTAATTGTATCTTGGGAATCGAACACCGATCAAAATCTCGTGCACCCAGGTGAGGCGGCGAATTCGATTTAAGGAAACCGTGTAAACACAGGCCTTCGGTTTGATTGATTAGTTTGATTATCCAATTATTTTATCCTACACACTCCTCTATCAGTGCCATGACCTCGAATTCGGGAAGCTTTCTCTTATTGGTTTGCATGTCCTTCAAATATTTGGTATAGCTCAGAATTGCTTTGATGAACGGGATATTAATGTGAAGTTTTTTTAGAATGCCTAAATTTTTTTCGAATTTCGTTTTGCTCTTGTTCTTCTGCAGTCTCTAACAAAAATGAAAGGAGATATAGTATTATATATAACTTTAGTTTTTAAAAAATTGATGAATGAGTGCTACATTATGCTTTTTTCCATTTATTGCCTAAGTTCGGTGATAGATATATGATGTGGTTGGAAACTTGGGTTAAATGAGTGGAGACGATGGCTTTGTTGAAGTTCCAAGTACCCATTAGAAAAGCACTTGACCAATAATTGAGAATAAGTTGGGAGAGCTTGAATTGAGGACAACAAGTGTTTTGGAGAAGTGATAATTTGTAGTTCTAGGTTCAAATTGGAGATGGAGATTGTTTTAGTGACTATAATCTATAATCCTACTTTCAATCATTGACCCCAATAAGAGATATTGCACTAGTCAAGGCAGAATATATAGGAAAAAGTTACCAACCCTAATGTGTGAAAGCTAGTCTTTAGTACTTGATAAGTGTGATTTTTTTTTTCACTTATTTGGGCATTTAAAAGTGAATATTTGGAGGTCGCTTTGATGGAATACTACTTAATTTGATTAAATATTGAATGTTGTGGGATAATGTTAGAATCCGACAAGAGTTATGTATGTTTTGATACCACTTGTTAGTGAATTGACAAAGACGAGGTTATGACAAAATATGAAGTAATGATCACAACATAAGAACAAAGATGATTTGACAATGGAATGAAGAATTTATTATAATATAGAGAAATAATACAAAGTATTGTGTTTCTAACTTCTGTAATATTCCAACTTGTAAAGAAGAGTCAATTATATATATGGAACATGTCAAAACCTTGATACAAGTCCTAAAGATGGAAAGAGTATAAAAAATCACGTGGAATAAAGAAAACAATCTTCCGTTGGACAAGCACGACACTCAAGCTACAGACTCGCGGAGTCGCGGTAAGTGAGCAACAGGTGCACCCTCGAGCGCCAAGTGAGTAGTAGGTGGACGACAGCTTTCTGCTCAAAATTTCATCCCTCCGCTCAAACAGTAAGCTAGAGACAATATGGGTTTTTTTTCATCCTTAGTCTATATTTTGATTTCTTCAAAACCCAATTCAACAAACCCACAAAAATTCAATGAAATTTGGGTCAAACTTTAACATACTATAATAAATTTCAGCATTTCAAGTTTAACTTTCAACTCAAGGGGACGTAAATTGAAAAACCCTATCTTGATTCTTTTGTGCTTATACTTTATCCAAAGGAATTGAGTCAAATCGCTTAGGATGTATTTGATTGTAAATATGAAATTTGGATGAAAAGAAAATAAATTTCTGGCAATTGAATTTCATAGAATTTATCTATATGGAAATTATTAATTAAATGTGTTGATTAATTGAATTTTCAACTTAGAAAATGTTATATTTGTTCAATTTTTATTGGCAGGTAGATGAGACAGAGATGTGGTAGATGAGAGAGAAATAGAAAGTGAATTGTCTGAAAAATAAAATCTTATTCCAAGCCCCCCCCCCCGGTTCCCCCAAAGAAAGAAAAGAAAAGAATATATATTATTTATTTATTTATTTATTTTAAGAAAAATATAATCACATAACCAAAAGTAAGAAAATATTATCCTTGGAAAAAAATATCAATCAAAAAGTCCAAATGTAGTAAGAGGTTGAAAAAAATGTATTTTTCATGAAAAATATTAACAATCAAATGCACCATTAGGGTGAGTTTGATTATAAACATGGAATTTGAATGGAAATAAAAAAAAATTCAGACAATTGATTTGTCTGAAACTTATTTGAATGAAAATTATTAATTAAATGTTTTAATTGATTTAATTTTCAATTTAGAAAATGTTAAACTTGTCCATCTTTTATTGATAGGTAAATGAAAGGAGGTAAATGTGTAAAAGAGAGAGAGTGTGTGAATTGTATTGAAAATAAAATTCCACTCTGCATAAAAATAAATGTTTTCCTTTTTTTGGAAAAAATATGGTCACATGACCAAAACTAGAAGAATATTTTTCATGGAAAAATATCAATCAAACAACATAAAAGTAGAAATTTGGATTAAAAAAAGACATTTTTCATAAAAAAATATTGACAAGCAAACACACTCTCAGCGTTTCTAGTAAAAAAATATTTTTTATTTTTGGAAAATATATGGTTAAAAAGTAGATAAAAATTATGAGTCTTATAGAATGTGTAGTTAAAATGATTTTAGGGAAAAAATTACCCAAACAAGCCTTTGTTGAGCTGAGCATGAACTTAGTAAAAGACTTAAAAGTCCTTGTTTGGAAGTTATTATTCGAAAATCATTTTTTCACCACAGTTTTCAACCATATTCATCCATACATTCTCTAAAAGAACAACATTTTTCAAATATTTTGATGACTTTTTCTACATTTAACCATACATTCTTCAAGAAATCACTTTTCAAAAAATTGCTTTCACACAAGCACAAAATCTATTGTAGTGACTCAAGTAACTTTATCATCAGATTACTTAGTGTCAAATTTGGGACACATTTTTTTGAAAGAATGTATACCAAACACGCCTAAGTAAGTTTGTCAAACATATTTGTAGCATTATATGCACGTTTACTATAGCTGTGAAGGTGATGTTACCGTTTTAACAATTTGAACTTGAAAAATCTGAACTCAATTATTGGATCAACTTGCAGTCTTGCCCCTTCATTGATCAGTGGCAGTTTCCTAATGCCCTATTATCTTCTCTTCAAAGACCATACCACTTCCTCTCCACACACAGAGCAAGAAGCATCAAAGAAATGAGTACAGTTTGTGTAACAGGAGCCTCTGGTTACATAGCTTCATGGCTTGTAAAATTCTTGCTCCAACGTGGTCACACCGTCAGAGCCTCTGTTCGTGACCCCAGTTCAGTTCCTTCTCCTTTCTTTATATTATTTTGGTTGAAAAAAATGTATTTTTCATGGAAAATATTAACAATCAAATGCACTATTAGGGTGAGTTTGATTATAAACATGGAATTTGAATGAAAAGAAAAAAAAAATTCATTTGAATGAAAATTATTAATTAAATGTTTTAATTGATTTAATTTTCAATTTAGAAAATGTTAAGCTTGTCCATCTTTTATTGATAGGTAAATGAGAGGAGGTAAATGTGTAAGAGAGAGAGTGTGTGTGAATTGTATTGAAAATAAAATTCCACTCTGCATAAAAAAAAATGTTTTCCCTTTTTTTGGAAAAAATTTGATCACATGACCAAAACTAGAAGAATATTTTTCATGGAAAAATATCAATCAAACAACATAAAAGTAGAAATTTGGGTTAAAAAAAAAAGACGTTTTTCATAAAAAATATTGACAATCAAACACACCCTCAGCGTTTCTAGTAAAAAATATTTTTTATTTTTGGAAAATATATGGTTAAAAAGTAGATAAAAATTATGAGTCTTATAGAATGTATAGTTAAAATGATTTTAGGGAAAAAATAATTTTTAGAAAAAATTTCCCAAACAAGCCTTTGTTGAGCTGAGCATGAACTTAGTTAAAGTCCTTGTTTGGAAGTTATTATTTGAAAATCATTTTTCCACCACACTCGTTTTCAACCATATTCATCCATACATTCTCTAAAAGAACAACATTTTTCAAATATTTTGATGACTTTTTTTACATTTAACCATACATTCTTCAAGAAATCACTTTTCAAAAAAAAATTCACACAGGCATAAAATATATTTTAGTGACTCAGTAACTTTATCATCAGATTACTTATTGGGTAAGTGATGCATATTTTAGTGTCAAATTAAGTAACTTTGTCAAACATATTTGTAGCATTATATACACGTTTACTATAGCTTTGAAGGTGATGTTACCGTTTTAACAATTTGAACTTGAAAAATCTGAGCTCAATTATTGAATCAACTTGCAGTCTTGCACCTTCATTGATCAGTGGCAGTTTCCTAATGCCCTATTATCTTCTCTTCAAAAACCATACCACTTCCTCTCCACACACAGAGCAAGAAGCATCAAAGAAATGAGTACAGTTTGTGTAACAGGGGCCTCTGGTTACATAGCTTCATGGCTTGTAAAATTCTTGCTCCAACGTGGTCACACCGTCAGAGCCTCTGTTCGTGACCCAGGTTCAGAAGGAAGAGGAAAGAAATATAATAAAAAATTTTTTATATGGGTTATGAACTTCAGTTGTATAATAATGTGCAGTGCAATTTCAGTTTTCGGTACTTGCAATTTATCTCAGACAATGCTCAAGAAATTGCTTCTCATTTGTGTGCCTGAAGATTTTATATTTTGATGTGTTCATGTTTGTAGTGGACTTCTCCAATTTTAGTGAAACTTCTTAATAACACTAGATTTTTCCATCACATATAGCATCTGCATATATCTTCCAGTATATCTAGCCATAAACCAATTCCCATCAGGAAATAGGATTCTTGTAGCCGACTCAAAATTTATTAGAAACAATGCCTAGACTACCGTTGTTTTTATTTTGTAGACGATGAAAAGGCTATTGATATAGGAAAAGTGCCAGTTCTATTATACATACGTGAGGTATACACACGTCATCAATCTTCGTTGGGAGGATTTGAATGTGCATTGTGTTATTAGTTGTACAATTTATTGAACATATGAATGCTTCTGTAGATAATGAGAGGAAGACAGCCCACTTGCGATCACTTGATGGAGCCAAGGAGAGGCTTCACTTGTTGAAAGCCGACCTATTGGAGGAAGGCTCGTTTGATTCTCTAGTTGATGGCTGTGAGGGGGTTTTTCACACAGCGTCTCCTTATATCGATTCATTCACGGATCCACAGGTTCATATAACATTTTTGTTTCCACGTTTTCGTTGTGTTAAACTGCATTGTTTGAGCAAATGGGAATGGAAGATACAACCACTGGTGCTATCATTGTAGGTGGCGTTAAGTAACAGGCTCAACGAAAAATAAAATTAAGTGATTCATTTAATTATACATCTCATTTAATGTCATATTAGTGTTAAACTGAGGTTTTAACATCGGTTGTGTTAAATAGCATTACTCTAGCCAATATACAATCGAGCCAGTCTAGCTTCCACGAATATATATTCATATAGGCTTTCTAACTTGTCCGTTTTGAACCTTCTTTGGTTTTCTTTTTCTCAAACAGCTTTTGTCAATATCAAGGAAATTGTAATATGATCCACATCAATACATACAAACTATAAATGACTCAATTTTGTTCCTTCTTTTGTTCAGGTAGAATTAATCGATCCTGCTCTAAAGGGGACTCTTAACGTTCTCGAATCATGTTCTAGAACACCATCTGTGAAAAGAGTGGTTTTGACATCTTCCATGGCTGCAGTAGCATTTGATGGTCGTCCTCAAACTCCTGAAGTTGTAGTCGATGAGACTTGGTGGTCCAACCCAGATTTTTGCAGAGAAAATAAAGTGTGTGAGCAATATTATTTGTCCTCTCTTTTTTAGGGGAATTATTTCATGATAGAACCCTTTTTTTAACTACTTCAGCACAAAATTTGACGAATTAATACATATTAACAGGACTGACATTATAACACTCGATTTTTTAGCTTCTTCTTCCTTCATTATTCAGTCCACCATTATCCAGTCCTTCGAACCACACATACAATTAAAGTTTTGGTACCGAGCATTTTCTCTTGTTATTTTCTTTCACTTCATCTTGTTTCTTCACCAGCTCTGGTATATCCTTTCAAAGACATTAGCTGAGGATGCTGCCTGGAAATTTGTAAAGGAGAAGGGCATTGATATGGTTGTGATAAACCCAGCAATGGTTATTGGTCCTTTATTGCAGCCAACACTCAATACAAGTGCTACTAAGATTTTGGGCTTACTAACTGGTACATTTCATTTGTTAGTAGGATACTTTATTTGTTTACAAGTTCTTCTTTCTATGTTCTAATTACCTGGAAATATTCCATTTTTCATTGTCTGCACAAATAAACTTATGCAGGTGGAGAAACATACCCAAATTCTGCCTTTGGATGGGTTCACGTTAAAGATATTGCCAATGCACATGTTCTGGCATTTGAGAATCCTTCGGCGAATGGAAGATATTGTATTGTTGAGAAAGTTGCACACTATTCTGATATCGTGAAGATATTGAGTGAGCTCTATCCCGATCTTCAACTTCCAAAAAAGTAAGCTTCTTTATGTGTATATTTCAATACAGTAATAAGAAATAAATTCAAGTGTATTTATTTGGAATAAGACATTATCTTTGGTTCTGTTGAATCCATTTTCTGATTATGAGAAGAACTAAATGTTCAATGAGCAAAATTTCACACATCGAGTAATTTAGTTAGTTGTTAATTTAGGATCACCAGCATAGACTGCACTAAGAAAATGCAGTAGTGTTTTAAGCTTACGAAGTTTATAAACATTGTCACACGCCAGACCATTGAATGAATCCAGCCTCTGCACAAGGGGTCGTGTGAAGATAACAGTTAGACAAAAGTTTTTCTTTTTCCCCGTCTAATAGCTTAAGCTTTTAGACGAGGTGGTTCAACAGCTCGACTGTACTAGCAAGATTTGTTGAGAGTACTGTCTCCTTGAGGTGATTTCTTTTTCCTTTTTCTTAAATGGATATTGTCACTTAGAACTGACTTTGCAGGTGTGCGGACGAAAAGCCATTTATAGCAATGTACAATGTCTCCAAGGAAAGAGCAAAGAGCCTGGGTTTGGAATTCACACCTCTTGAAGAAAGCATCAAAGACACTGTTGAAAGCTTGAAGGAGAAGAACTTCTTTAAGCCCCCTATTACCCAAAGTGAAAGTCATTCATAAGATGATGCTGAACTACTATTGTGAATCAACACCTTTATCGCTTGTTTGGTTGGGTAGATAGTAGAGTCTAGTCTAAAATAGTATGTAATAAACACGCTAAGTTTAAATTTTCTTACTATTGTGGCTTATATGTAATGAATTTTAATGAAATTAGAAGAGAGGTTCATATCTTCTTTGTTAATTATATAAGTGTATAGCAAATCGATAAGCCAGATTTGACTCCAATGGCTTGAGAAACGAGAATATGTGTGCTCATAAATATTAACAACCATTGCCAGTTAAAGCTTGAATGAAGCTTTTGTGTGACTACTCTTTGTTATTGGATTTTTGTAATTTAAAAGTTTGTACCTTCAGAAAATTACAATAAATCTTACAAAAAGAAAACTTCATTATATTAAAAAGGATAAGCGATGAGTTCCTACTTCCAATAAATTTCTACTCCAGTTCTTGTAATCCTACTCTCCATTCTAAATCTACTACCCAGTCTCTATCTCGTTTCTTTTCAGTCGGTGTAGATATACAAAAGCCATGATCACCCGATACATTTCCCGAGGAATAGTCGAAGGTAACCTTTGAATTCATGGACACGTCACTTACAGAAGATTCATAAGGAGAGGAGGGTGCTCTTGTTAGGGAGAAAACCGATTGTTGTCTGCAATTTTTCGACCCAGAGAATTGAAACAGCTTTTCAACTGAAAATAAGCTGCTTATTGAATCAACTGTGAAAGCCATGGGTGATTGAACCATCTCCTGTTCAACTGATAAAGCAGATTCAGCAGAAGTGCTTACTGGGCGAGAACTTATAAGTCGCGCTTCATTATCCTGTTCTACTTCGATTTCCATTGGATTTTCAGATGAGAAGAATGGATCCTTCAAGAGGTCAGCAGCTGATGGCCTATGGGATGCAGAAACTAGGCATTTTTCAATAATCTCCTTCACCTCAGGATCCATAACTTTTCCAAGAGCAAGAGGCTTTATCCCAGCAATGACTTTCTTGAAAATCTGCGCTGGATTTGTGCATTCACTGTAGGGATATTCAGAAGTGGCTAATTCCAGTAAACACATCCCAAAAGCATATATATCAACTAACTCATTATACTCCTCATCATAATATTCTGGTGCCATATATTCTGGTGTTCCAACAACAGTGCGAAGGGGGCCTTCTTGCATAAAAGTTGCCAAACCGAAGTCTCCCATTTTCACTTCTCCAGTAGTTGTGTCGATAAAGATGTTATCGCCCTTCAGATCACGATGAATTATATGCGGATTTTGGCTGTGAAGATACTGCAACCCTTGTAAAATCTGTCTCCCCCAGTTCTTGATTGTTTGCACATCAATATTGCAGTTTCTTTGTCTGTAACGCCTTAAACTCCCTGAACTGAACAATTCAGTAATCATATTCATTGTCTTGTTCTTCTTATCAACCCAGTAGGAGTAACACTTCATGATGTTTTTGTGATTCAATGACTTCAATAGAACGGCCTCGAAACACAATTTTTCTTCGTTTTCCAAAGACCTTATAGTATTTTCATCGTTGATACAAATTTGACACCATGCAATCTCTGTATCACTAACCAGATCGAATCCTTCGTAGGCGTCTTTGAATGCCCCTCTTCCCAAGAGTTTCTTATAATGTAAATAACGATTGCATGGTGACACCTCTGAAATATCAGATTCATTTAACCCTAGTTTTTGCTGCATCAGAAACCCTATTGAATTCATCATAAAAAAATGAATTTCTTTATCGCTGTTCAAAATAAAACTGATTTTTCAAAAGATGTTCTAAAGAAAAATCTCATTGTATAACGCTTCCATGGCGATCAAGATTGAATCAAGAGTTGTACAAGAACCCAATCTTGAACTCGTGCAGTTCATATTCATTGAATTCAGACTTTATTTTGAGGCTTGGTTCTTCATCTCTGCATCTTTTCCAATCAACCCGGCATTCTCGAATCATCAAACTTGATGTATGTTTAAGAATCCTTTATGGAAAAAACAAAGAAAAGATAAATAGAGAAGCGGAAAATTAGGTTGAAGATTTTGCAAAACTTATTCCAATTCTAAGAGCTCAGCTCGAATTCATTTGTAAAAGTGATGCAGATGCAACAGTAAACAAATTGAGATGAAGGGATACATGGAGTTTGATGATGAACTTAAAGGGATGAAGAACCCTACTGAAGTTTGATTAGGATTGGATTTCTATCACAAGTAGTTAGATAGGAAAATATAATTCTAATGGGATTAGTCTTTCCTTCTCCTATTTTTTTTTTTTCCTTTTTTTTCATATTTGTGTTAATTTTAAATTTTAATTCATATTAATAGTTAGGGTTCGGTTTAGAGTTGGATATTTGAAATCTTGATCAAGATTTTGAATATTTTTTTCAATTATGTAAGTATGCCATATTTTTTGACTCACAATACATTACTCTTTTGGTTGTGATTAACAAATTATTGTTCAAATTAATCAAGTGAATATTTTTTTAACCCACTTATTTGTTGTAAAATTAAATTAATTCACCCCACCCACCCCAACTCAATGTTATCCAAACCCTCAAAATCACTTCCTGCTCTTTCTTTCCCTCTCCCTCTTTTTCTCTCCTCACTCTCTACCTACACCACCCTCTTACGCCACATCCACCATTCATCTAGCGTCGGATTTACCGCTTCCCTCGTTGTTGGAGCACCAATGCGCGAGGCGGCGCTACTGGTACCCCGAAGCGGCTTCATTCCACAGGTGCTCCAATTGATGCTTCATTCCACTTCTCCGAAGGCTTCAATCCACAGGTGGTGTCGGCTCTCCTTAACAGCAGTGATCTGTGTCCCGCACTGCAGCTGCTACAGCGATGGATTGTTGGACTATGTCTATGGCGGCGCGTAGGGCTATCAATGGATTTCATTTTGACCCGAATCCGATGAAATTAATGGGAGATAGATTCAGGGTCTCAATCCGATAACCCGATCAAAATTCGAATTCGATAATCCATTAACTAAATGAATCAAATATGGATATAGGTCAATCCGATTTGTTATAAATAATTGAGTCGATAACATATTTTTATGGCATGTTATTTGTGACTAAAATAAATAAATTTAGAATAAAAAAATCATCAAATTCAAAACATAAAAAAATTGAAAATTTTATAATTATTAAACTCGTTTAAGAATTGGAAAAATTGGAAAAAAAAAATAATAAGTTGATTTCATCATTATTTTTTTCCTAATTTCTATAATTTTGGGTTAGATTATCGGATCGGATATTCGATAACATAGTAAAATTAATATGGATTTAACAATCAAATATTCGTTGAATTATCTATCAGATCAGATTGGATATAAGCAGATCTAGTCCATATCTGATCTATTTACAGTCCTAGCACCTCTATTGTGGTGGGGTTGCATCTGTTGTGGTGGCAATGTGTTTGTGTTGGGTTGTTGTCTTGTGTCTGTGTGTGTGGCGGTACATTTGTGTTATGTTGTTGGGCTGTGGTGGTTGTGGTGGCGGTATTGTTAGGCTATGTTGTTAGTGGTTGTGGTAATGGTCACAAGTGATGGCGATGGTTTTATGTAGTTTTTGAGGTGGTGGTGGTCACATGTGGTGCGCATGGCACTCGCAGTTTGGTGCTGGGTGTTTGGTGATGCTGTGATCTGGCAGCAATGATGATGTCGAAGTTTGTTGTGTAGTGGGGTTGTGATTTTTGTGGTGGTGGTGTTTTAATGTTGCTATGGTGCTGGGTTTGCGTTGATGTGGTGTGTGGTGGTGGTTTTGTACAGTCTGATGAAGGTGAAAGTAATGTTGGTGGTCTTGGCAGAGGTGCAGTGGTCGTAGATGGATGGGAATGGAATGGGGGTGTTTGTGACCAATGTATCTCACAATTTATTGTGATCGAGAAATTATCTGTAACCAATTAATTTGATAATTTCTAACCGATAAATGAGTTGCGAACTATAAAAGTTCTGATTTTGTGACTGATGAATAAATTGTGATTTATAAAAAAATTTATTTGTGAATGAGAAATAATATGTGACCTATAAATTTTTTTATTTGTGATCCAAAATAATTTGTAATCAATTAATTCGATAATTTATGACCAAATTGTATAATAGATTTGTGGCCTAATATTTTAATTAATAAAATATTTTTAATTAATTATTTCATAAATAAAATGTAATAATATTTGATTTTTGAAATTTTAAACCTTATTTTTTAGTTTTGAAATGCTTATATATGAATTTTTCCTAATTAATTTTTTCTGTACAAATTTTAGTTAGCCAAATTAGAGAGGAGGGGGGCAGAAGTAGAAGTGCCTATTATTGGGCTTTTTCCTCCTAAAATCCCTTTTAAGATTAGCCCAAACAAACAAACCCACATAATATTGTTCCAACTCAACTGTAGTGAAACAATGAGGCCTTTAACCCAGTTGTGCTTTGATTCGTATTTATATTCGTACTTTTATGAATGCGGTAAAAACGTATAAATAGTAAAACAATAATTTCTTAATTTATTTTACTTTTAACCTCCAAAATTCGTAACAAGGAACAAAAAGAAAAGGAACCACCACAAGGACTAAATTCCAAAGTCAGAGGAAATAAGGATTAAATTCAATCCTCCGCCACAAGGCCTTACCACCAATTTTCATGCCAAGATAGAGATCCACACGTGGCAACAAATTATTGGTGCACATCTCTATTTGGGATAAGAAAATGGATCAATTTTGTCTGATATTGCACATCTAACCAACAAAACTTAGCCCCATTCTTGTGCACAAACACACAACACAATTTTTATCATCTAGGCTTCAAACAATGGCTTCCATGACAATGACAGCCTCGTTCTTGGGTGGCTCAGCCGCAGCAGCCACCACCAAACGGCTCCCAAGCACCACTGCCCGCCGTGGCATGATGGTGGTTAAGGCCTCCAAAGATTCCCATAGTGGAAAGATGATGGAAGAGAGTAACAGCAGCACCAGAAGGGACTTGATGTTTGCAGTGGCTGCTGCTGCTGCATGCTCCATTGCCAAAGTTGCCATGGCGGATGAGCCCAAACGGGGTTCCCTGGATGCTAAAAAGAAGTATGCACCTGTTTGTGTTACTAATCCAACTGCACGCATTTGTCGCTACTAAGAACAGGAATTGCCTAGTTCATGTCCTAATATATCTCTAAAGTATTATAAGCATTCAACTTTATGCTTGTCCTTTGATCAATTGCTTTAATTTCAGTGCAAAGAATCAATTATTATGAGCTATCAGGGTATGTTTGGCTAAGTTTAAAGGTAAACTTATTTACTTCCAAGTTTTTGGTCTCGAAAAATAGAAAGTTACTACTGCCACCTTCGACCCCCTCCTCGACCCACACGCATCAGAACACAAAGGGTTCCCATTGGCTCCAACAACTGATGCCATTACAAGTAAAGATAGAGTCGATAAAAAAGAGAATTTCTTTATTTTCATAAGCCTTTGCATAACACATGCAACACAGTCAATCATAAAAGTTCCCTACAGTCCAAGCAAACACGTAGCCCAGAATAATTATTTAAAAAAAAAAAAAACACATACACACACAAAAAACAACCAGAAAAATCCAGTTATTCGAAATTCTACTCAATTCTAGAAAAGAGCACGTTCCATTCGAACTCAAGAAAACTGACTAAGAATATGGAGTTAATAAATGAGCAAACAATCACAAGATACACACACACAGCCGTTTTTACTTATTACCAAGTACCAACCAATAAGTAGAGCGCAGAAAGAGACATGCATCTGATAGTAATTACTCCTCCATTAGTGCTCACTCAAGTTTCCCATTTTGGTTGGAGGCAACAAAATTGCGGATGACTTCCATAGCCAATTGATGGGGACTCTTATGTTGTAGTTTTGCAAGAGAATCTAAGGCTTCATACGTCTCTTTGTCAGCAAAAAGATTCAAGTTATAGTGGTATACCCTCCCATTTATCCACAAGCTCCTGAAGTTTCTCCGTACCCTGGCCCAAAAACAAAAAAAAAAAATTGTACATTAGTTCCTTGCAGTAGAACTAATTTCAGGTTACCAACTTTACGGCCACTTTGAAAACGGCTTTTAAGTAATAAAATTGGTTTGTAGAGTTTATAATATGGCTTACCGTGCGGATTGTGAAGTCACCAAATGATTCTTTAGATAGCCTTTGGCGTTTCCAGTAATAGAACACAGGTTCCAGAACTTTCTCAAGATCATGAAGCTTGACCTTATCTTTGAATGGTTTTGCTAATGAGGTTTGGTTTGGGGTTCCACCAAGCCAAATCTATTTCAACAATGCAAATGCAATCAGTCAGATCTGACACGTCTTTTGGTTTAAATAAGAGACGCAGAAATCAGAAGTCATATCCCATAATACTAAATGTTCAAAAGAGAATCAAGAAAGAACAAAAAGCACTCAAACTACCTGATAACTATTTGGACCATCACCCACCAAGCCGAGTTCAGCCATGTATGGTCTAGCACAACCGTTAGGGCAACCAGTTACCCTTATTACTACGGATTCACTATACTTAAGCCCAACCTGAAAGGAAAACACCAATCGCATCAAGCCTCTTTCCTTTTCTTTAATTTGAGCACAAGGCAGTATTATCTTTCCATGCACTCCAAAATAAATAAATAAATAACCACACCTTCTCAAATACAGCTCGAACTCGCTTAAGGATGTCGGGAATTCCCCGTTCAGCTTCTGTAATTGCAAGAGGGCAAAGTGGAAAAGCTGGACATGCCATAGCTGTCAAGTTGAGAGGCTCTACAAAGCTAGGTTGCTGTTCAAGCAAATAATAGGTTAATAGACCTCCCAAAATTCAGATATCATTTTGAAACAAATACAAATAATTATACTTTAACATAAACGTTTCACTACAATTTGAAGTTTGTGATAGAAGTTCTAATATACACAAAAATCTCAGCCAGCTGAAAAGACAATTTTCTAGTGAGTAAGAAGTTTCATTAACTAATTGCATCTTTCCTTGTATAAATATTTAACAAAACGAAGAAACTTAATAATCATAAACTAATGAAGGAAATTCAGAGACACTATAACTTAATTACATGCATAAGCCAAGTTAGACACTGCTATTGATAGACTTGACTCTTCATATCTTAGAAATATTCTAGTGGTCGAAGCATGTTTATTTATGACTTTAAATGTTGCCCAGACATACTCCACAACATATGCATTTGGCAACTCCAAACAAAGAGAATAAGTCTGTTAAATGTTTTCCAGAAATAGAAAATACGTAACCCCTAGTTTATATATTTTAACTGTCTTTCAACGAAAAAGGGGTAATGGCATTGCTACATTATACAACCATGTTCAATTTTTTTTGAAAAGAAAGTGAATACACCATTTTCTGAAGAAGCAGATATATTTATAATAAAATCTTACAAGCAAGCCACCCTGAGCAAGAGCTGTATTGATTTGGGGCTTCCATGCTTGCTGGATATCGCACAAGATGATATTCTGGTTTGGTGTGATACGCACATTCAAATTATACTTCTCAATTATTTCCCTTAGTGTCTTTTTCATAGTCCCCTTGACTCGGCCATTATCAACATGGAGACCACAAAATAAACCACCATCTCCCTGCCAAAATTTAGCAACAATTGAATAAAGAGAAGTTGGGAACAGTGTTCCAAAAGTTAAAATCTATGTAAATGTCATGTTGGAACAACAGATCAAGATGATAAAAATCTTGAAAACTAACCATTACAAATTAACTTTATATGCAATAGAACAAACCTGCTCATGCCATCCCAAGTAACTCTTGAATTCCCACTCAGGTAACTCATGGCAAGGTTCAAACTTCTTTCCGTAATATTGCTCAACAGTAGTTCGGAATTTTTCAATTCCCCAAGAGCTGAGTAAGTATTTCATTCTGCTGTACTTGCGATCGTCTCTTCTTCCGTTTTCTCTTTGCGTAACAACAATAGCCTTCACTGCGTACAATATATCCTCTTTTGGCACATAGCCCAATGGCTCTGCTAAACGGGGAAAAGTTGTTTCTATTCTATGCGTCCTTCCCATACCTCCACCAACCTGCAATTAATTTTATAGATGACTAAATAACATTGATTCCGGAAAGAATAAATGAAGAAAATAGTTTCTAACACGATAGCCAACCACTTACATATATGTTAAAGCCCTGAGGCTCTCCATCAGCATCAGACACAACAACGACGCCAATGTCATTTGTGAAAATGTCCACTGAGTTATCTGTGGGCACTGTGACTGCAACTTTGAACTTCCTCGGCAAGAACTGAGTTCCATAGATAGGCTCCTGTGAATCAGGAAAATTTGTACCATGAGAATTATCATTGCGAGCCTTCACTACTTCAGGGGGTTCAGCTGACATGATCTTTTCTCCATCCACCCACGTATCATAGTAAAAACCCGACTGAGGAGTTAAGAGTGCAGCAATGTCTTCAGCAGTTCTCTGAGCAAATAAATAGTCTTTTTGTGAGTAAGGGGCTGCTGGAGCAAGAACGTTTCTATTCAAATCACCACATGCCCCAAGAGTTGAGCCCATATTTTTTATGATAGTACTCATCACCGTCTTGAGGTCTTTCTTCAAAACACCATGGAGCTGAAATGTTTGCCTAGTTGTCAAACGAAGTGTACCTATCCCAAACTCATCAGCTAGATCGTCCATGACCGTATAGAGTTTGTTTGAAACCTTTCCACATGGGTTCTTTGTACGAAGCATAAATGAGTAAGACCTCGCACGACGTTCATCTCTGTTGTACTGCTGATAGCTTCCATGAAACTTGATTAATTGTGTAGCAGCCTCATTAATATTCGGAGCATCCGTCAATAACTCCTCGTTGAGAGGATATCTTATAAAGTTACTATGCTCTTTGATGATTTCAACCTTACTACGTTTAGGCTCAGCTGAAGTATCCGGCTTCACAGGCTGCATTGAAATTTTAGAATCAAGGAAATATTCTTTGTATACAAATTATATCAATATGATATTCAGACACAATTGTTCCAAGAAAAAAAATAGATAAAAGCAACTGCGACTCTTCATTGGTAAGTCAGATAAAGATATGTTTGCAACTTCGCTGAGAAGAGAAACTGAAGAATCTATAGTTCTCGCGGAACAAGCATTTATTGTTTGGGAAGGAATAGAATGACAGGAACCATATAAAAAATAAAACAAATTCTTTTGATGCTGAAAGATCAGATTCCAAAGATTTTGTCAATAAATACTCATTTTGTCAACTCTTATAGCATCTCCAAGAAACCCTCTACTTTTAAAGAGTATCTATAAATTTATATTCAACACTTAATTTTACTACTCCCAAAAAATATTTATTATTTTTCCTTATCTTTTATTTCCACTAGCTTCCTTTCAAATTATTATATTATTCTTCTCCATTGAAAATTGAAATAATTTAAATGTATTTAATTATAGAGAGTAAGTTTGGTTATCCAAATTTAGAGAGTCAAACTTACTATCTATTTTAAAATACTAATTTAAGGGTACTCAACTCGGCCTAAATAATGCCCAAAGACTCCCATGTCATTCTTGGTTGGACCAATCCAACCGGCCATTTCCGACTTCTTGAATTGGGAGTGCAAGTATTTGTATAAAATGAAAATAGTGCTACTTAGTGCTCCACTAATTTCAAATTATAATCGAGATCCTCATTTTTAATTTTATATAACAATTAACTTCCCATAATTGAAACCCAAACCCAAAAATTCAATTTTATTCGTCTTACTGTTCAATACCCATTTCTTTCTCCGTGACGAATTGATTTTGATCTATTCAAAATGACATCTTGGGTCACTAAAAAATTTGAAGCTTGAAAGGCGTACACACGTACCCATATTCGAAATTTAGACTCTTTTTAGCCATATTGCCGTATCCAACATTTTATTCTGACATTCACGTAGTACCCAATTCCCGTAACCGAGTGTGAGTATCATAGCTATGTTTCATTTTCTCTTTCAACTTGATTCTTCTTGAACGAATTCCACAAAAGAGAGAACCTTGTCCACGTAGCTCGTAATATAATTGTTCAACTTTTTCATTAAGCAACAAGATCACATAATTATATGTTGCATACAAAATTAAAACAGAAATAATAAAATAATAAAGGACAACCGGATAAGAGAAAACAAAAGAACGTTACCACAAACTCGAGAAAAAAATTAACAAAAGTTTTACCGTAGAAACAGCTCTGATAATTGAAGTGAAGCCCTCTTTGGAGGCCGGGAAAGAAGGGAGCACGTGCAGGCGTTTACTCAGTAAAAGGGAATTCGAAGTGTGTTTCAAGCTATTAAAACTTGTCGCAACACGGACATTCAGGTCCTTGGCGATTGCAGTGTTAGCCGCCCCAAACGACGTCGTCATTTCACACAGATCACAGTGAGACACAAAGCCCCAATATAAAGACAGCTAGGGTTTTTGATCAAGGAAGATCTTACAAACTATAGAAAGGGAGAGAGGGGTTTAGGTGGTGGCGATTAAGTAGCAGGAGGCTGGAGCTGGTGATGAAGAAAAACTCGAGGGACTTTGGCGAGTGCGGCGTCAAGTGCCTAGCATTATATTTTTTGTTCTGTTAGATTCTTTTGAACCACGCGCTCTTTGACGAGTTAGTAACAGTGTTTTGTTTAGAAAACTAAAATTTTGTTTTTCTAATACAAATTACGATAAACATCCCAACCTTTTTTTCCTGCCTAATGTATCCTCACCTTTTATGAAATAATCAGAATTCATCCAAATGGAGCATGTATTTTCCAAATATTGGGGACAAAATATAAATATTTTTAAATTAGAATGATTAATTAGAGATTAAATAACAAACACGGTTAAAAATGTAATATGAATAAGCTCAACATTAAAAATTTGAATCGTATGTTTGTCTCCAAACTCAAGTTTAGACTTGTTTCGAATTTGATAAATTAGCCTCAAGAGTTGGGACATCAATGGCAATCTTTTTCCCACACATTTCTCGGAGTGTGAGTATAAAACTATAAATAATTTACTGTTATTTTGTTGAGTAATGTAAAAGTGAGTCAAATTTATTAAAGATCATCTTTCAATGATGAAAAAGTGGGCATAGATATATGCCTCTAATATTGGAGGGAAATGACCATGAACATTTTGACTTAAGAAAATTATGTATTGCGTAATTCACTAGCTTGTTTAACAACTCGACTGACATGTATTGTGGAAAAAGGACCAAGTGTGCAAAGTTGCTAAAGGTAAGGGATCACTTTTATCAGTTTTATAGGTTAAGGATGACTTAGTAAAAGAGTCATAAACAATGGGAACTAAATGTATAAATGAATTATTTTTAATAAAAAATTGGCTATAAACAATGTGGTATGACAAAAAGCGCGTGAGTTAAGAGCGTGTGGGTCTTGCTATTGAAAGAAAGGAAAGTGAATTTGGATACGAGTGTCTACATCAGGTTCTTTGAATGTGGACAATGATGCATTATGACGGTAGGTCAAAATGGACCTGCACCGTTACCTGCATAGAGGCCCATAACGGCCCAGGAAAATGAGGCCCCTCACACTTCTCTGTGGTCTATCTCGGTTCAGAGCCCATCTTAAAGTATGCTTGGAATTGGCTCAATGAAAAAAAAAAAAAAGACACTAGATACTAAGTGAATAATACTCGTGCATCCTTTAAAATGTGAATAAAGTGTGACTTAAGTGTTTCTAAACACTTCTTGAAATTGGATAAAACTTAAAATATATTGGCGAATTGAGTAACTCCGGGACACAATTTTGAAATACTAAAAGAAAAATTGATAGCGACAACTAACAAAAAATACTTTGTATTAGAACTCCTAGGTGACTGGTTCTTTGGCTTCATTCATGGTCCTTGCATCTGGAACTGGCTTTGGTCCATCTAGTTGTGGTTTTATAACGGTAAGAAATATTACATTATAGAATATAGTAAAAAACAAGAAGACCAAAAGTTGTAAGATCCTAAGAAATATGTAGTTTCTTCATTCATTTCATGAGTTCATGACCAAGGCTTGAAGCTGCAAGCATATTAACAAGTGTATGAGATTAGAATCTATTGTATTGTACAAGACTCGTATAGTGCACCTAAAATTATTCTTAGGATTTGTTTGAACCTCATTTTTTGGGTTATTTTGGAATAGTGATTTATCGGTTAAAAAGTTGGGTAAAAATTGAATTTGTGTAAAATTATTTTATTGATAAAATGTGGTTAAAATAAATTTGAGAAATAAGAGTTTTTAAAAAATGGGACTCGGATAAATTTGCATAGATTTGTTTTTTTTTTCTTTTTCTTTTCTTTTTGGAGTGTATGCCAGTGTGGGCCCCAGCTACAACCAGCAGAACCTAGTTACTGGGACACACTAACCAGCAACTAGTACCGGAGCCTGGCCAAGCCTAAAGCATATGGACGGTCAGCTCAGACCTGGACGGTCCAACAAATATGTGACAAAGACATCAGCATTTCATAGGACAATCCAAATAAAAGCCAAATTTTTGACTCGAAATTTCAGAAAATGCAACTAGAAAAAACATGCTAATGCCAGTACCAAACTTTACATAGTTCTAGCAACAGAGAAGGCTCTTTACTCATCGAAGATTCGACATCCTAACTTCTAATCCTACGACATATTTTGCACACCAGAAGAAGAAAAGTTGGCATTTGAAACCATCTGAGTCCATTCATCTTCCCTCCTCCCCACAAACTAAAAGAAACAGCCAAGAATGAATTGCCGACTGGCTTAGAAAAGCCAAGATCTGTGAAATCAGCATTGTAACCTTTCTCCAGTTGGAGAAACTAATTTCGTTAAACAGGCAGTACACAGTTTACTTCATGGCAAATGCACGGTTGGACGGGATGTTTCCCCACTGCTGGCCTGATGTACGTCCTTCCCCTGTCGACTGATATGCTTGCTCCTGCTTGTTGGTTTGATTTCTAAGATTGCAGACATTGTTGTTGCGTGCATGTTGAGCCTCAGGCACGTTTGCCTCATTAGACTCGGGGGGCAAGGCTTTGGAGGCTGATGAATTGATAGATTGTGATGAGACTGTTGAACAAGAATCTGCCCCCTTTGAAGTAGCTGCATCAGACTTCTTTGTAAAACGCCCACCTGAACCTCTTGCCCTCCTCAAAGCATGTTGGTGTCGAGACTCATGAAGATAAGGCTGTCAATTGATAAACATTTATTGCTCACCAAAAAGACAAAAACAAAGCTCAAGTTCCCAGTGAGATTCCACTTTTCATTGTTCGATAAGTCCTAACAGGCAACAACCTACAGAGGCTAACTTTTCCATAAAAACATTGGTAAACTAACCTTTCGAACTTTTATCAATTTCTTTTCAAGCTCTGCTTTAGCACGCATCTGCCTTCTCCTCAGAATCCCATTGTACTGCTTGGCATTGACATAAACAGGCTCCTGCTCCATCTCCAGGGGCAATGGCATCCTTGCAGGATGCATGTCAAATATGTGAGGAGGAACCTGATAAAAAAACAATTATTAGATTAGAAAAATGGATGGAGAACTCAGATTACTGTTTAACTCCAATTTCAACTACCGAAATAATATCAAGCCCTTCACAGAACGTCCCATCTAAAACGATGTATACAAAATCAACATGAGAAGAGTTATCGGGATATTAAAGAGCATCCCGAGAGTATTATGTTGATTATTTTTTCTGGTGCCCATCTAAATACGAAGAAAAGATCGAAACAACCACAAGAGCATTAATGAGTTAACATACAACGGAAGTCCAAGTATTCACTAGCATGGACTGGATTTAACATTTCATGAAATCCTCCAAATAGTTAAATAAAAATATGGTACAATTTCATAATGAAGAAAAAGAAAATAAGAAACACAGAATGAAATCCAGAAGACGAGATACTAGAGTCATGCACATACCACCAAAGGTTGTCCATAGGCTGCCATCATTCCTCCATAATATGGATCATATGGATTTGAAGCACATGCCTGAAAAAGAATCACAAAATAAAGAGTAAAAAAGGAGCGTTTCAATTTAAAAAGCACACACTTCACTAATGCCAGTTATTATATTGGATAGTAACATTTCTTACAATTGAGTGCCCAACAAGTTCAAGCTGTGGAGGCTGCATAAGGCTTTCGATTCTTGGACGTACAGTTGATGTAAACTGATTCAGATCATCAACTCCATGATTTCTATCTAATCTTGACAGGAAAATATCATTAGTATTATTTCATAATCAGAGTAAATAAGAAAGAAATTAAATGCTTCATCACAATTTTACCCAATAAATTGATGTAAAAATTACTATTAGTGACTCTACCCGTGTCCAGGTTCCATTTTGAACTCATCTAAAAAGTGGTATAACAAATGAAAATAATTCACATATAATAATTACATCAAAAGCCTTTCAAGAAAAGGGAAAAAGTAGTCTTGGATTTGGGTTTATAACCATGGATTCCAATGCATGAGATCTTGTAGCACTTACCAAATATAGACACTAATGTGATTAGATCCGCTCTTCATGGACAAACTTGGGATTTGCGATCCTAGTATCTATGCTTGTCTCATTACATCATTCATGGATTTACATGATGAAATGTACACAGGGTTTTCTTTGTTGCACACTGTAAAGGTACCTGGGTTCAGAGGTAGAGCACTTGATGTTTGTTTGACAGCGTCATCATCTTCCTCATTCATACCGCCCTCAGACTGTAATTGACTATCAACTGATTGTTCAAGCGATGATGAATCTGATGTATTCCCTTGCATCATTGCAGGGGGGAAGGGTTTATATCCAGTATCATTCCCCCACGGTTCAGAACGTACTCTAGAATTTGAAACATTATAAAGATTGGATTCTCCTGGATCGACTCTCTGAGAGTTGGATTGCATGCTCCCTAGTTCTCCAAATAACTGAACGCCGCGTCCTAGCAGATTGCACAGACAATATAAAGTCTAATCAGCAAGGGGACTTGGAATTATGCAACTCAAATTTCAGACCCAAAAAATAAAAACATATCTCTATATAGAAGTTTACTTAGTATGAAAGGCCTCATTCGAATACCAAACTATTTTTACAGGAACCGGTTAGATGACGAGCTTGATGAGAAATTAGAAATATTGCAGGACCATATAGCCTCAAAATTTTCCCAGAAATTTATGGGAAATACACAGACCAGACTGTTATAATATCAGAATTAAGCTCATTAAAGTTGCTTTAGAAATTGATAACATCGATTTGAATTAAATTCAACCAAGATGTGCTAATATAAGTCCTACACTACTATTCACACCTTATAGTATGCAAAGAAAATACCAGCCAAAATAGAGTATATAAACAAGAAACTGTGGTACAACACATTTTGTACCCAAAAAAAAAAGAAAAAAGAT